CCCTCAAAAAATCTGTCGTTACACCTCTTGAATTTGACCTGATCTGGCTTATGCATCAGTGGGAAAACTTATTATTCAGGGCAGAAGGCCTATTCGTAACCTCACAGAAGTTTCTTATTCCTCTCTGAGAGGAAGAAACGGAGCAGACTCCACTGGCAGCCTGGATTTCCTTAAAGACAAGAAAGGTAAGGGACAGTGGCCAATGCCCAAATCATCACAGATTGCATTAGTGATTAAATTATACAAAGGAAGCATCTTGAGTCCAAAGGTCTCCTAGTTCTTCACTGAGGCCATATCTGAACGCCAGTGTGGATGGGTGGATCTGAGCGTGTGCAGCTATCTGCCATCTCCAGGAACAACAGCCCTGAGCTCTCTGCCAGTCCAGAGCTACCACTCCTCCTCTAGCCCAGCTGTGACGTTCCTTTCTGAGGAGAGAAGGAGAAAGGAGTGCATGCTGGGCTTGCTTTTTCCTCCATGATGGAGATGTGACTGTGTTTGCTTGCCTTTACTTCAGGCAAAAAGACAGAGCTTTCTGCCAAAGGTGGACTAGAGATGAAATTAAGATTAGTTGTAGGAAAAGTAGAGGATTGTCACGGTTCACAAGCATGAGTTTTTAGATAATGTTGAGGGGAAGTTTGTCTACAGTTTCAGACAGGGTCTCAAGTACCCCAGGCTAGCATCAAGTTCATAATGTGTCTGAGGATGACCTTGGGATGCTTATCCTCGGGCTTCTCCCTCTCACACACTGGGATTATGACATTCTGGGGATGGAATCCAGGGCTTTCTGCAAGCCAGGCAAATGCTCTGCAAACAGTTCCTCAGCCCCAGCCCTAGCTAGAGCCTCTGCTCCCCACTGCCCACTTCCGACCCTGACCCTGATCCCAACCCCGGCCCTGACCACATGAGTTTTGATTCTTGAACAATCACAATATTTTTAAATTTGATACAAGCCAATAAAAGCACCAGAAGTACTTTAAAAATTAAAGATGAAATTGTACGTAAGTAACATTTAATGGCCTCATGGGTTTATATGTGAGATTATAAATGCCAAAAGAAAAAAATAGAAGTATTTTGTTGCATATAATTGATTTTCATTACTGCTTTCCTGGTAATGGTTATGAAAGACAGTAAATATAATATATACTGCCTAAGTGAGTCATATATCATTTATTTCTAGTCTAAGAATATAAACACGAAATCTTCCCGAAACAAATCAGTAAAATGCTTTTGAAATTGCTTGGACAGAAGACCAGTTTTATCCCCAAAATATAACATCAAGGAAGAAAATGATTTTAAGAATCCATTACATTATTCCAGCTGAAGAAGGTAAGTGAAGTGTAGTGATGATTTATTCTAATATTTTAAAAAATCATTACGAAGAAAATCTAACTCCATTTGCCACTCCGTATTAATGTCATAGAACAGTCATTAAGGAAAGTGAGGGCAGCGTGGCACTTCTGTGCCAAGAACTGCCAGAACTCATCAACTGAAGACTTGTGCAACCCTGGTTTTCTCAGCACGCTGGCCAGAAAACAGATACTTAGAAGTGAGGATAGCAGAAACTCAGAAAAAAAAAAAGTCTCTGCCCTTGACCCTGTGCTCGGCAGAGTGGCTGAAATTTGCCAGCATTGCACCACAAAAGGTTCCAAGAATCCACACACTCATCTAACTCGGTGACAGTTCCTTTCCAAACCCAGGGCTTAATGAGTGAGGTCCAGGAAGGCTCCGTCCCTAACTCTTTACTAAACAGCCCTCATCAAAGAATGCCGCTGTCCCTCCAAATGGGCCTCGTTCTGTTTCTGATGCACAACCCCCTTCATTACAGAGAACCTGCAGCACATGCGGGAATTAGCTCTTGCTGCTTCTTACGGCACACAAAGCATGTTAGCCTTGAGATGCAAAGGCATGTTACAGAAATCTGCTAACCCGAATTAAAGACTTGATGAACTTTGAAGCATCCATGCCCACTGAATGGAGTATTGGTTAATAGTGACTTGTCTTCAGCCTCTGTGGTGGTTTGAATAGGAATGGTTCCTGAAGGCTCATAGAGTTGACTAGCCATCAGAGAGAGGCACTACTTGAGAAGGAGTAGGTGGTGTGGTGTGGCCTTGGTGGAGGCAGAGTGTCCCTGGAGTGAAGCTTAGAGATGTCAAAGGCCCGTGACAGGCTCAGCCTCTCTCTTACTGCTGCCCACAGATCCAGTGTAGAATTCTTCTCCAGCACCATGTCTGCATGTCACCATGCTGATAATGAGTTAAACCTCTAAAACTGTAAGCCAGTCCTGATTAAATGTTTTCTTATATAAGAATTGCCTTGGTCACTATGTCTATTCACAGCAATAGTAACCCTAACTAAGGCAGCCTCTCCTCAGCCAAAGCAGGAAGGAGGCATTGCCCTCTAGAGCTCATGGTCCATCGTCAGTGACTCCTATTTGCATAGTCTCCTCTCTTGCCTTCTTGCTTTCCGGTAAGCCTAGCTCTCCTTTGGGGTCCTTCTGCACAAAGGCTGTTCTTTTATACCTGAACTACTGGACCTGCAAGCAGAACCAGACCCTTCCTTCCCTTCCTTCAGACCAGATTTTCCTCTCCTCCTCCCTGAGACTAAGACTTGGAATATGATTTTTTTTTTTGACTGGCATAAGTCATTTCCTCTTCTTGTTGCCATTACCCACAAATTTCAGTTCCAGCGGACAACCAAGCATCTCAGCTCTACTGCAAACTTAACCCTTGGTGCTCTCACAGCTGTGTAGATGACCCATCTCATCTCCTAACCTCTAAGTCCTGCGCTTGCTTTCTCCACAACTGTGGCCATCAGCTCATTTCAGCCGCTCATTTCTATGCAGTCTTAAATCTTAGTATTACCAAAAATCGCAACCCGAATATAACTTAAACTTCTAGCATTCAAACTTCTCCATCATTTATATTTCATTATAATTCTGTCTCCCAGGATAGCTCTCCAACAATACCCAATCGTCTGTCTCCCTTACTGCTTTTCATTCCCTTCCTGTCGTCACTGATCCTCGACTGCTTCTTTATCTCCTCAGTCTCTGGGAGAAGCACACATGTTTGAAACAGTCTCCATTGAAAGCAACTCTCCATTTGTGACACCCCTGTATCTGAATCATCACCAAACATGTCTTCAGAACGTAGCCTGAACATGATCGATTTATATTGCCTCCACCATCAATGCTGGTCCGCACCGCTGTCCCATCTCTCAGCTGGCGTTGCTGTCTAGGCCCATTCTCCATGCAGTCGTCATAGTGAACTCACTAATAACTAAGACACAACCCTGACATCACTTCTATTGCCCCTGGGTAAAAGGTCAAGTCCTCAGTGTGAGTAACAAGAGCTTACCAACAATGATTTGTCCCCAATTATATTGTAGTCTTCTATGTGTGGGGGAATCGGTGTTAGGACCTTTTGGGGCTACCAAAAGATGCAGATGCTCAAATGCCTTATATGAAATGTTGTGGTGTTTGCACATATCCTACACACACCCTCCCATGGGATTCAAATTAAACATAATTCTTGGCATAAGTGTTATGAAGATAGTTATTACACCATTTTACTCAGGGAGCGCTCACAGAAAAGAAGTCCATACATGTCAATACATACATTGTCTCCCCAAATTTTCTATGGATAGGTGGTAGGTTTATCTGTTGTATAACTTATTCATAAGAAAGATGTTTGTGTTTGTTAAATGAATTTTTTAAATAATGGGTCTTTAACAACCAAGGATGCCTTCTGTTTTTATTGATTTTTATTGAGCTCTACATTTTTTTCTGCTCCCCTCCCTGCCTCTCTCCTCCCCTTCTATCCTCTCCCATGGTCCCCATGCTCCCAATTTACTCAGGGGATCTTCCTTTTTTCTACTTCCCATGTAGATTAGATCCATGTATGTCTCTTAGGGTCCTCGTTGTTGTCTAAATTCTCTGGGATTGTGGTTTGTAGGCGGGTTTTCTTTGCTTTATGTTTAAAAACCATCTATGAATGAGTACATGTGATAATTGTCTTTCTGTGTCTGGGTCACCTCACTCAAAATAATGTTTTCTAGCTCCATCCATTTTCCTGCAAAATTCAAGATGTCGTTATTTTTTTCTGCTGTGTAGTACTCCATTGTGTAAATGTACCACATTTTCCTTATCAGTTCTTCAGTCAAGGGGCAAGGACATGTGCTCAGTTATGTTCATAGCAGCATTGTTTGTCATAGCCAGAACCAAGGATGCCTTCTTAAGAGCTTAGGCTCAAAGTTGGTGTCTAAGCAGCTCCCCAAACCACGTGCAGACTTGACTTGTCTTAGCTTGAATTGATTCCAAGAACATGTGTTGTTTATGTTTATAGCCTTATCACTTAGCACAGTGCCTGGATCAGAGGAAACGCTCATATGATTTGTGTAGGTTGGAAGAAGGGAATCTATGTAGAGTCATCAAACATGCCCGGGGTGATTTGAGATCTGTGTTAACACTTATAACAATATAAGTATATAACACTTATATTGGATAAGCAAACTCCCACCAATAGCTATTATAATTTTTTATATCTTAAGGAAGAAACAAATCTCATCTTTGAATAAACGTTATGTCTTTGTTTCTGTTACCGCGCAGCCAACGACTTCATTTAAGCCACTGTACAATACTCAAGTTTTGCTGAGCCACGAACAAATATTTCACACATGCAGCCCACCACTCAGCCTCTGAGGTGGTAGGATTTTACCCCTGCTGTTCAGATGAGAAAGTTGACACCTTGGGAGTTGTTGTGACTTTTTACCCTTTTAGCTAGTAAGCTATGCCAAACATGAAGAAACTTTTATTTGAATAAAAGATAAAAAAACATTAATCTATTTCACTGTGAGTTTCTCAAAGCAAGATTTTAGCTGGCTAACTTTTATTCCATGTTGGTTGTAAGCAGTGTGTGCACTGATGGTAGGATTATTAAGAAAAATTTTAATAAAAACAGATCCCACTGTTCCAATGGATGGTATAAATATGGCACTCACCTGAAAGATATTATCTGGGTGACCTGGGAGCAAGCTGAGGAGTAGAGATGAAGGGCAGGACACTAGCCGTGTTGGCATCTTTGCTGTTACTGAGGAGGGATCTTCCTTTCTAGGCTTTCTGCAGAGCTCTGAAGGCCAATGATGGAAGGCTGCCATCTGTCCCCTGGGCCAGAGCCCTGATCAGGAGAGGAGCTATGGCAATAAGATGATAACTTTAATAGAATATGATCAGTATCTCTGGTTTGCACTCCATAAGTTTTGGGGTTCAGACAAATGTACCCTCAGAAGGCACTCCTCGTGGGGGAAAAAAAACAACAAAGAGACAAAAATATTTCCTGTGTTAACCCTGGGTGGACCCCACAACTCCAGGCACTTGTATTTTAATAAATAAAGCTTGCCTGAAGATCAGAGAGTAAAACAGCCCCACCGGTCAGCCTTACAGACAAGACAAGGGTGACACACACCTTCAATTCCAGTAGCCACACTAGTTTGCCATAGAAACCAAGTGGTACATGTCTTTAATCCCAGCCCTAGAGAGGAGTGTAAAATGGGAGGAGACAGCGCACAGTCTCATTCTGAGATTCCTGGAGGCAGGATCACCATTTTGTACTGAGGATGAAGTAAGAGCCAGTGACTGTCTGTTTTGTTTATTCTGACCTTCAGGCTGAACCCCCAACATCTGTCTTTGAGTTTTTATTAATCGTGCTTCAGGCAGTGATGGAAGGTGTGCGCTTGGAAGGAAGGTCGACATCCCCCAGGTCCAAGACACCAGCATCACAAGGCATCACCATCTCACAGGCCACAGAAGTCCTCAGGACGCGCTTGCCACTGGGGCAGCACTGGGCCTGGGTAAAGTGTACCAGGAGAAGAACACCCCGCTATTCCATCAATGCCCCCAGAGGACTTTATCTGGAGCTCTACCATACTGAAATGCATGCTATTTTAGTACACTTTGAAATTTTCTGCTTTTATTATGTTTAGGGATTATTTTTATTTTGGGGAGGCCTGTACATTGGTTGTATCTAGTAAATATGCTAACGTTGGGACTATGGCTTGAATTCAAGAACTTTTGAGAAAAAACTTACAGAATTCCTTCAAATTTTACCTTTGGTAGATCTCTCTTTTCAGAGGCATCCAGTTAAACTGCGGTTACCTGATGCCATTGAAGTCTTCACAGCCTTCAGAGAGCTCAGAGAAGCTACTAAATACTCTAGCTTCAAGGCTTACTGGATACAAATTCCTCCTGCTCTCTTCCCTTGTGTCCACTCACGCGACTGCATTTGAGCTGAGTTCCAGCCTACCATAGCGTCTACGAAAATAAAATGAAGCAAACAAGCAGTAAATTTCTCTAGACAAAACTCAGGGGAGCAATCTCAACACACACTGTGCAATCCAGTGTCAGGGCTGGAGCCAGGCAGGGGCCAGAGGCTGGAGCCGGGAGGCAAGGGCA